GGTCCTTCAAAGAAATCCCTAAAAATACTTTTAAATAAAAAACGAAGGGTTGAAAGAAGAGTTCAAATTTTAAATTAAAGGAGTGCAGGGGTGAAAAATATTGTGAAAAGGAAGATTAAGCTTCCTGGACTCATAATTGGAGGAAACCAAATTATTTAAAGCAATTGCTGAACTTCTGCTAGAGAGCTGCCATGAGCTTTTTCCTCATACCTTGTCCAAAGAGGGTTCCTCCTAAATAGAGTTCAGGAGAAAGAAATTTGGTAAAGCTGATGCTTCAATCAGTGAAGTCTTACTAAACAGAGCCATCATAAATTGCAGCCTGAAGACCTCACCTTTCTCAGCCATTAATTACGAACTTAGAGTCTTCATAGATGTGGCCAGGTTTGACTTTTCGCTGCTCCAATGCATAAGAATTTTCCAGCCCCCATGATGATTCTCGCTAGAGAAATTGCACATGCAAGGGGGGGGGGGGGGGTTCAAGGGGCCTCCAACTGGAAAATTTTCGTAAACATGTCCCTCCTGATCAAGTATAACCTGATTTCTCTCAAATTTGACCTGCAAAGTTGTCATTTAAAAAAATAAAAAATTCTAAGGGGACTTTCTTCCCTTCTCCTTCCCTCTGCAATTTGTTGCACTCATGAAATTGCCCACTTTGCTTATTTCCCAGTAAGTCTGAGCATGTTCACAAAATTAAATAAACTGGAATCATTTGAAAGCAACTAGAATCTCTGAGAACCTGGAATTTCAGAGCAATGCCCATCACTTTTGATGAAAGAGACAACATACATAGGGTGTCCCAAAAGTACTGCCCCTTTTTCCGCAGAGGGCGAAAGAATGCAGATATCAAAATGCGGTTTGTGTGAGGTTATAGTCCTAGTAATTACCTATAAAACAAGACCAAGTTGAGCTCTGTAGCTTAAAATTTGACTGAGATACAGCATTTTGAAAGTGACGTGTCAAGGTGCCGCCTACGAGATTTTCAACATTTTTTTACGGACGAACCCTAGGACGAACAGACACGACGCATCTGCAGGTGGTCCTTTAAGATCCGGTGCAATGAACTTTTTGAGATGTCAAGCAACACCTGAAACTTACGCAAGGATAAATGACGGTCTCCTCGAACAACAGCAGCAACGGTACCGATTAATTCGTCTGTGGTGGAGGTAGACGGTCGGCCCGGTTTCGCGGGACTTTCCGCCGATTCGCGGCCGCCAGAAAAAGATTTAAACCAACGACCAATGCTACTTCTGTCCAAACAGTCGTCTTTATACACGCCTTTCATTTCATTAAAAGTGTTTTTTACTGACATTCCTCGACGAAAACAATAACGAATAACGTGGTGTTGTTCTTTTCTTAATTCGGTACTCATCGCGAAAGAAACTTCCAAAACGACAGAGGGATGAACTCAGATTGACGTGCCGGGAAAGCTTGACCAACTTGGATGGCACTAGCGGACACTTTCAATCCTGTCGTTGGTCTGCATAGGGGCGCTTACACGTTGCCAAATGCCGCCTAAAACACAGTGTTGCCATATGTTTCTGGCCGCTTCTTCTTCTTTTTAAAACCGTTTCATTCTTAAACTTGGTTTTTTCTTTCGTAAAAAATGTTGAAAATCTCGTAGGCGGCACCTTGACACGTCACTTTCAAAATGCTGTATCTCGGTCAAATTTTAAGCTACAGAGCTCAACTTGGTCTTGTTTTATAGGTAATTACTAGGACTATAATCTCACATAAACCGCATTTTGATATCTGCATTCTTTCGCCCTCTGCGGAAAAAGGGGCAGTACTTTTGGGACACCCTATGTACTTACTTACAATTATCTGTTCACTGTTCATTTTCATTGCCATTTGGCAGATAAAAATGGTGACCACAACCATAGCATGCAGAACTTGAGGGTTTGAAGCTCAAGACATGACCTCAGTTCCCCCTTTTGGATTGCAACTATATGTCCTGAATGCTCTAACGGTTGGTTAGCCGCTGATATAACTTCAGAGTGGCCCCGGACTTTTAAACAGCCTTGAAAGGTGAGCAAAGTTGATAAATCTTACCTGGACTTTCAGAACGTTTAAAAGATTTTATAAGAGAGGTGTGCACTGTCCGTCGATGAATTGCCAGCACACGAAAATTGACCCCAACGACTTCCCGTAGCGCCATTCAACTGGTTGTTCGTCACTTCACTTTTTAGACTGCAGCGAGAATGATTTCTGATGACAATATGACGAAACGCAGTATGGGACTCATAGAAAACAATCAAATAGAGCTATATTGCAACTAATAACACCAAAAGAGTTAAAAAGTCGATAACATCATTAAAATTCCGTGAGGAATTCCGAAACACCAAAGACATAAAGACGGAGTGCTCGTATCTAAAAGCACGGGGAAAAAGTGAAGCTAGGTTCGGCGCTGCGCGTTTGTGTGAGTGTGTAAATGAGCGCGGGAATCCATGGCGGCAAACGGAAATTTGATTTGAACTTGTCCTCTTGATTTTTCCTTATTTCTTCTTCGAAACGTGTTTTAAATGCTTTAAACGATTATATTAAGAAAGTTCGGTCTGCGTCCTAATATATTACACCTACTTTTGCTCGGTAACAGGCAGTAATCTCAGATAAAGTTAGTTTTTCTTCTGCTTATGGTGGTTCTGCAGGTTCAAACAGGCCGTTACAGTTCTAGATCTACGTTACTTCCAAATGAAATCAGTCGGTCGACGACGGACCGAAACTAACCTAAAGTTAATAAAATATGAGTGTGTACCTGAATTTGGGCAAAAATCAACCTAAAATACTTTGTTTCCGCAATTTTATTTATTAGTTCCCGCCCTACATTTGAATTCAAACTTGTCCCGATTTCGCCGCCAATCCTCTAGCCAATAGTAGAGGTGATTGAAAAGAAGCTCTAGAAGCTTCATTTTTTGCTTTTAGTGCTCCGTCTTTATGTCTTTGCGAAACACGCACGACTTTCCCTTGTTTACTTGGGAGGTTAAGCTGTTACGATGAATGTTGTCAACCAACGGTGAGGAAACTTCGTTTGTTTTGATGTTTTGACAGTTTTTTGAAAAATTCCCTTAGGCTGCTTGTGTTATCGTTAGGGCCCTAAAAACGACGTTAATTCCATCATGTTTTAAAGTTACTTGCAGTATTACAAGTGTTCTCCGAATCCTTCATCGGCTAATGCTAATGGCTCAGTTAACGATAAATTAAATAAGTATCGACATAGGTGTTATTTTTTGAGTCTAATCATGGCTCACGAGCAAGAGGATCCCACGTGTGTTATCAAAATGTTGGACGACTTTCGTGCTGGTTGCCTTCCACCTCCCTCTCGAGGTTTATCGAGTCTTAATTTTCCCTTTAGGTATGGCTCAACCTCTGCAAGCTCCCACCATGGCTCTAAGCCTATGAGACTAAACTTTGATGATTCTGAAGTGACGGACTGTTTCTTATCAGCCAGGAAGCGGAAGCTCGACTCAACGAATGAGTCCATTGATTCAGAGGGGCACAAAACTATGAATGAAAGCTCCATTGTTGGTAAGTACCAGTACTGAGTAGGTGCATTGTTGCTTGTTGTGGTAGCCTCAAAGCGGAGAAATAAACTCTCTGAAAGTCATACTTGCACTCTATCATGAGAACAAGACATCGCTCTAAAACCATTGGTGTTCCTCCAGAAAGCAGCTGCCTTCATTGATCCTCAACAATACTTTTCTGCCTCCATGCAAAGAAATAGAGTGTCACTCTCACTACACAACTGAGGTGAAGGCAGGCGTGCAGAAAATGCACTATTAAATATGTGTCCCTGCGAGTGCATGAAAATGTGAAAAGTCCCACAAAATATGAGTGAAGGTAAACATTTTTAGGGTTAACAAATAAGTCTGTAGAGATGCGCGATAATAGCGCATTGCTCTGGATGGATTCAACCCGATTTGCAGGAAATTTAAAACTACTGCTGGGGAAGAGGAGTGTTGGTCTTCTGATTCGTCTATCTAATTTTCAAAGAGTCCCCATAGCTGAAATTTCCCTAACACAGGATTTGCTGATGAGATTACGGCTGCATAGACGCTGGCACCTTGCCACCGCGTGTCGCGTCGGGTTTCCCTGGACCGGCCGGCCGGCCCCAAACGGTTAGAGCGAATACCACTTAGACACAGCGCGATGATTCGCATGGTGCATCGCTCGAACGCCCTCTCCGCATGTTTGTGGGTGAACGGTTAAAAATACGCCAAAACGGATGAAATTTCAGACCTTGGGGTTGTAGCCCGGTAAACTTTTTAAGGATTGACTAGTCACACTTACTTTTACGACATCATTCTGGAGGGCGCTACCGCTACCGCCTACTTATCGGGTAAAAACAGGCCAATTGTGCTTTACTCGTGCACGATACGTCTACACGGACGAAATTTTCGTCTTTTAGGGCAACAATTTGACAAAATCTGTAAGGAAACATGTGTTTGAACCTTTAATATAATATATTAAAAATTTAGGCCTTCATGCGGTGCTACAGGGTCAATTTTATGCGGCGAAATTTTGGGTACTTCATATAGGGCCCATTTGACAACTTTTTTTCGAAGATATGCGTGTCCCCTGTCACAGTCGAAAAATTCGATCCACCCTAGAGGAGGGGCCTCTTGAATCAATACAATTTTTTACCCTCGAAGTCAATTGCCTAATCATATTCCCTGGTCCTGTCTTTGTGCAACTCAAATCAAGGGAGGAAAAAGCCTACAATGGGTGGTCCAGATCACCCTATATCTCTCTACTTTGCCATTTATTTTAGTAGTGCCGCGGACGCTTCTTAAAAGTGAAGCTCCAAAGTGATGGCTTTTTAGTGAAGTGTTGTCATCGATGCTGCAAAGGAGAGCAGCCCCCTGGCCTTTGAAGGCAATCGATGGCAACACTTAGCTGAACATCCACCAGGTTGAAGGTTCACTTTGAACACATGTCCAGGGCATAGCCTTTACAAGTGACTATCATTTATTTTACTCTTTATTTTGTAGCATCGCCATGGGAAACTCGAAGAATTCAAGGTGAACTATTAGAGGCGCGGGCCCAAATTGCAGGGTTGGAAAAAAGGTTGAGTCAAGTTCATACAATTAAACGAGAGACTGAAATTATGATGGAAGCTGAGAAAAATGATATTACTCAAGCCTTATGCAGAGAGCGAAAAAATGTAAGTCCAGCGTAAAAGTTGATTTTTACTTTGCTAAAAGTGAATCTTCATTTTCAAACTTGATTTAATGTTCGCGGGCCATTAGATTTTGCAGCAGGCTAAATAATAAGGAACAATTTAATGGAAGGGAAATGCTTCAAATTGAGTCTGAAACTTCAAAACGTTTCGATCTTATCTCAAGAATGTCATCAAGCAGAAAATAAAAAATAGAAATGAATTTACAGTCGTTTAAGTTTTACAGAAAGCATTTTGGCTGACATTTTTATTTGTCTTTCCCCCCTGCAAGGTACTGACAAGATAACCTCTCACCCCTCTCCTGGATTACAGGAGACTGACCTGGCCCCTCCCCTGCCCCCCAATTAAAAAAAATAACTGAAAAATTCTTTTTATTGGAAAATGTAATTTTTTTCAAGTGAGAGACTTACATAAACTTGGCTTGGCCCTGTCCCCCCCCCCTTATTAAACCCTGTAAGGCAAACTCAGACTCCCACCCTTCCTTAAGTAGGTAACTTATGTAATACTTGAACAGCCTCTAAGCCTTAAGTAAAACGTAATCCTCAGGTTTTTGTTTCCGAATGAACGAGGCAAGTTCAAGTTTTTACAACTTCCTAAAATGATCAAGTAACGTATAAATATCTCTTTTCATCAGGTAACAGAACTTGAAAAACGCCTGGCCACTGTTCGAAAGCGTGAAGCTGAGGTGCGCGAGGAATTAGCTCAGATGAAAACTTCTCTTGGCAAAAAGGTCGCCAATTTGGAAGAAAAATGTCAACTTTTGGTCATCGAGAATACACAATTCCGGGACCAAGTGAATGAGGTATGTATTTTTTTAAAATCAGGTCTCAGTGCTGCCGTCAGTGTATAAATATCATTCCACTTATGTGTTGAAATGTGTGTAAAAAGAAGCTTGATGGAAGTAAGTAGATACAGAGGATGAGGAAAGAAGCTGATTCGATTAACTGTGGAACAATGTTTTCCTAACATTTTGCTGCTGAAACCACCTAAAAATGTCAAACCATGTCAGGGTCAAATGTGATTTGAAATCAGTAGTTCAAGAAATGCAATTAAGAAGGTTAACAGAAAAAGTTACAATGGGCCATGTCCAGGGCTTAGAATCACTAGATCAACAAGCAACTTTACTTTCTCCGTTAGTTCATAAAAGGACAATGTGCTTAACATTTGGATGGCCGTAAGCTGGATCAGCGTAACTACAACAACCTATCCCTAATTTTTTCTCGATTTTATTTTTGTAAAAAAATATCAAGCAACATTCTAACTTTAAATTTCGTAAGTATGTTCTTTGCAACTCAGAGGAAACTCTCAGAAAGTTTCACAGCACCGTCAGGTGTGGTATGTTTGAAACCTTTCAAAAACAGGAAAAGACTTATGTATAAAATGTATTTTACTTTTAATTTATGATAGCACTAAGCTGTTTAGTTTTTTGTCCAGAAAGTGAAACATGCAAAGAATTAGGCAACATGAAATGCAGATAAGCTGACGCTGGTTAAATCTGATCACCTATTCTTCAGGATATGCGAGATTTTCTGCTAAAAACTCTTACTTCAAAAATCTCAGCCCAGTTTAATCAAAAAAAAGACGGAGATTTAATAAAAACCAACATCATGGTTGCAGCAGTCAGGGAAAACTGGAAAATGTCAGGAAATTTTAAAAAGTCAGGGAAAACATGGAAATGTCAAGGAAAACTACATAAATGTCTGGAAAAAACTTGTCAAATCACCTTCAATTAGTTTCTCAAGTGGGTTTCACATTTCGAACAACAAGTTTTTCCCGAAAACTATTTCAAACTATGTCTTTTTACAAATCCTGCATTTGTTCAGTTGTCAGGGAATTTCACCAAAGTGTGTTAGGGAATTTAATTTTTCAAACTCCGTGGCAACCCTGAAAAACCGCTCCTTTGAAAAATCACATGCTTTTTATCCTCATTTTTACCTTTGGTGGTTTCCAAAAATAAGTGGAAATGTTTAAAACTTTTGTTTATAATTTTTCTTAGTTGAAATCTAAAGTTTCGGAAAGTGGTGGTGAGTCAGGACGCAGGATGAATGAATTGGAGAGTGAACGATCAATCTTCAAAGAAGAAGCAGAGCGGTACAAGCAACTGACTGAGGAGTTGAGTGCAGACCTCAAAGAGAAGAGGAAAGAACTTCGGCAATGGGAAATGGATAAAACAAAACTTCTTGTGGCACAACAAAGAATTAAGGTAGGGCTCTAAGTTAATACATTTTAATGCCAAATTTGGCTGGCTAAGCTTCTTAGATAATGGTAAAATGATTGAAGAAATAATGGAGCTACAAGCCAAAAATGAATTAAACAAATAATATTTCAAACTACATGGAGATGAGAAATAATAAAAAACTTACAAGGAAAAAAACAAATGTTTCGACCGCCAAAAAACCGCGGTCTTCTTCAGTGCAACAAGTGGAAACATTTTACAAAATCAAATTTAAATAGTTTTGTAGTTTTTTATATATTTTTTTTAAATTTGTTTTTGTAAAATGTTTCCACTTGTTGCACTGAAGAAGACCGCAGTTTGTTGGCAGTCGAAACGTTTGTTTTGTTCGGTGTATTCCTCTATCATTGCATCATTCCACTTTTCCCATCTGAATACACTTAAAAATGCGTGTAAGGTAAGGAAAAAGCAAGGATTTATGAGAATCGCCAAAAAAAGGAATTTTAAGGAAAGTAAAGAAAAAACAAGATGAAAGTACTGAATAAGCAAGGAATTTGAATGTCAAGGCATCAGTAGACACCCTGTTATAGAAACAACATATGTGCCATAAGTTTTTCTATGCAAGTAGGTTTTAAGGAAAAGCCAAAAATGGTGGTGCCTCAGTGCAAAATGAACTCCATTTAATGGCAATACAATTAGAACACATGCCAATGTGTTCTACTCATAATTTGTCGGTTCTCTAGCGCAAGAGTGAAACTAATTTTGGAGTTGAGCCCTATTGTCCATGTATTCCATGCTTTCCAAGGCTCTTGTAGAAATTGACATATGCTCTTATGCCCAAGAAGCGATGATTTCTTTGCATGCCAATTATGAGGACTCCATAAAATTTTTTCTTCATCATTTATGTCCTAACATTTTTCTCAAATTACAGTGCCTGTATTGGAAGTTTCCAACCAGTGTGCTTTTTCAGGTAGTAAGGTACTGTAGAATTCATCATAAATCCACGGTATAACTCGGCAATCTTATAACCCGGTTTGCAACGTCGCAGACTTCCTGTCAGACTTCATTTTCTAAACAGAAAACTACTCAACGGCAATTCTTTAAAACTGCCATGATTTTTCTTCCCTGTGCGAAGAAAATTTTGCAAAAACTTCAAGGAATGATGTCAGTTTGTTCTCCTTTAAAAAAATAACATAGAGGCGGAGATTTTCAGACACTGCAAACGAGTTATGTGATTGCCGACTGACACCGTCAAAATGCCGATTCATTGTGTCTACAAAAACTGCTTTTAAAATCCCTCACTGGTCTCAGTATACTATGACAGTATTTATCATTTAAGGCAAAGTTCAAAGCAAATTCTAAGACTTTTAATAGTGGTCATTTTAGATATCTCTTTTGAATTTTGTATTTGCCGATATTTTATTGTAAAATTAGTTGGGAACAGTTAACCCTTTACTTGTCATCTCTGCACTGGAGTCAACAAATTATTTTCTTGTCCTTTAGGTGAAATGGCCACTGTGCTTCAGTAAAAACTGGCATGTTTACTTTAAACCTCTGACGCGAAATGAGAGTAATTCATTTTTTAAGTGAAGTACATTTCGAATCTCTTAAATTAAAATTTTTATATTTTCTCTCTCTTTATAGGATATGGAATACGAGAAAGAGTCATACCAAGAAGCAGCTGCGTTAGCAAAGTCTCAGCATACCAAATTGCTAAAAATTCCTCAGCTGGAAAAAGAAATTGCATCTCTGCAACATGAAAATAGGCAACTTAGGTATGTTCCTATCTGAAAATGAAAAAAAATTAAATGAAGCTCTCTTCAGAAAATTCAAGGAGGCATCTGTTACCTTCATTGAATAGATTGATTCAAATATTAAAACCTTCTATGGCATTACTTAATCTTGAGTTTCAAGTTCTGATGGACACAAATATATGCTGCAGCTCTCGTTAAATATTGAGTACCAACATTTTCCCTTAAAATTTTAAAATTTTGGTAATCATTTTTTCAAAGGAGAAAATATTGATAAGAATTTGCGACATGATGCCAGAAAAATGGTTTGTTTTGAAAAAACCACTAAACGCGTTGTTACAAATAAGGAACACTATGCCATGGAGGTTTATCAAGTTGCAAGTATTGTTACTTTTAGTTGTCTCTTGTGAAGTTGCAATTAAAAATATCTACCATTCCTGTTTGATTAATTTTTTTACTTCTAAACCATCATTAGATCCTGCATTTTTTTTATAGGGACACCATTGGCAACAAATTATATTTTGAAAATTTAGTGGAAAGCTTACAAGAGAAAGTGAAATTAACAGACTCTTACGAAAAAGAGCTAATCCATCTGAGAGCTGAAAACAAACACATAAGTCTACAATTAGATGAGTGGAAAAGTCTGGGAAAATGCTTTAATCTGAAGGACATGGCAGATGTGTGCAGCCCGCTCTCCTTACGGCGGTCAATCCAACAATTGATGCAGCAGGAGGTTGTATTAACGTCAGAGAAAGCTCAACTCAAAATGAGGTAATAATCAAGCATACTATTTATAAGTATGGTAATTTAATGGGTCGATTATTTCCAAGGACAAATAAGTTCTTATGCAGCCTAACCACAAGTAACCTAAATTCGACCAGCTTTGCGGTCTGTGTTTGTCAATTCCTGAAACGTCAGGAAAAATGTTACTTTTTTATTGTAATTAGTTCTATGCTGTGAGTTTACTTTTGATTAATATGGATTTGTTTATTTTCTTATGGAGTGTGTCTCAATTCATACATTAACATTAAAGTAAACACATGTGACATGCGACTGTTGAGTAAGGGTGGCATTATTCTTACGTATCTATGCAGATAAAAATCCTGCTTTTAAAATTTCTTGAAATGAAAACCTTCACTCCTTCTCAAATTAATTTTCTAATCTTATCAATTTCAACAGATGTAGAGCTCTAGAAGAAGCAAACGCTGCGGTTGCTGCGGAGTCAGCAAAAAAAGAGGAGAAAATTGCACAACTTCAAGCCACAATTGAACAACATTCATCCCTCATCAAAAGGATGAAGAAACAACTAACATTGATAACATGGGTATTTATCAGTTTTCATTTTCATCCTTTTGAGACATTCCATAGGCTATTTCAAGACCAGAAATCCTCTCTGGTTCAAAAAAAGAGTAGGAGGCAATCGTAACATTGAGTGTCTCAAAGCCTAGGGTGTGCCATTTTTGGACGATTTTCGAAAACCTTTTGCTCTCTGGTGATGATGATGTTTTGTATTTCATGGTCTCATGTATTTCATTTTCAGGTCTTGCAATAAATTTAAACTGTCCTTCGAATCTTTGGACTTTTAAAAGTGGGCTTGTCCGGGCTTTTGGCTCCTGAATTACACAAAAAATCACCTTTCACTCTACTCACTTAGTACTTTCAGATTGTTGACTAAAAAAAAAACACAAGATTCAATTATTTATTTTGCTCTCTTTAGTTTTCGGATTCATATTTTCTTTGGTCTCTATTTCTGATCCCACCCTATCCTTTATCTTTATTAACTTTCTATATTATCTAACTCTGTTCAGGAAAGGAATGACTTAAGGACTCTTGTAGACTCCTGTCAAAAAGAATACTCCATAATTGCTCACACAACTCTAGATGCTCAAAATATGAACAAGCTGGAGAATTTAGAAAAAGTCATTGAAGGTTACCGACAGCGCATGGAAACTTTAGAAAAAGACCCCTCTTTAGCTCAGACCGATGTTCCAGGTAAATCAGCCACTTCATTCATCTTGTTTAGAAAATATTTTGAAATTGTCTGGACTAATCGACTAATATTTAGAATATCTTCCTCTCAAAACCACATTTTAAATGTAAATTTCCAACCACCACAACTCTCATTTTCTTTTCATACGATAACCATGACAGGAATTTGTTTGAAAATTTTAGTGTCTTGTCCTAGAGTATTGAGAAAAATCAATGATTTCAGATGAATTGATATGACTAGTTTCCTTTAGCAGAAATACAATGTAAGTAAGAGATACTTAGACAATCAAATCTAAACATGCTTCTGTGTGCGGGATACGATGATTAAAGAGCTCAAATCACCAATTTTGATGGCCTTTTTTTGATTTTGGCAGCATGGCTCCACTTAATTCCTCACTGTCTGATTTAAAGCCAACTGTCCCTTCAAACACAGATTTATCTATTTGTATTTTGTCATCGTAAACTATGATATATTGAATGTCTTTTAAACAGGTTTTCCAAATAGCCCTGTGAATGGGAATTTTAAAGCTGAGCGAGACGCTTTATTAAAGGAAAAAGAGCAATTGTTGAAAACTGAAGAACAGTTGAAACTTGAAAAGCAACGTTTGCTGAGTGAGATTGAAGAGTTGAAGATTCAAATGGAGTATAGAGCTCTCAAAGGCGACTTCGACACTAGGGACACAAAAATCCTGCATCTCAAGTAAGCTGCAAGTTACCTTGTAAAATATTGTATGCTCAGAACATTACTCGAGCAAGAAAAATTCCTCTTCTTGTAGCTTGATCGGTTTTTTTACACCACCTGCTGTTTTGAAACATCAAGTAAAACTTGCATCTTACAAGTTGTCAGTTGTTTACTTTTGACTGTCCTAGGCAGTAGACGGATTTACGTCTCTGCGCATGGCAGCAGCATTGCCCGCAGTCAATCTTTGATGCCTTCTGGACAACTGTAATGCAGATGCTTTCAAACGAAAAGTGAACAACTGCCAACTTATCTGATGACAGTTTTAGGATGTTGGCGTTCTACTTCGTCACTTTGCATTCTTGGAAGTAAAAGTTTCCTACATTTTTTCAGTCCTTGAATGTGTCAAAAAGTTGGTCACTCCTAAATAGTCCTCTTTTTTGCAGTTGGAATTTCTTAAAAATCTTTCATTTTTGTTTTGTTTTTCAAGTTGCTGCAAGTAATCAATTTTTGAAAAAAGTTTTAAATTCACAAAAAAAAAACCTTAATCCCTCAATCTTGGGCCTAGTTTCCAAAAATTTTAATTTTCTTTTCACAATTCATGCGTTCATTTTTTAACGATGACTAGCCATACAAAAAAATATATTCTTATACCTATGCTATGTCCCTCATCTTCTTGCTGTCTTAAGTTAATTTTTGATCTCAATAATTGCACTGGATATTGGCTTATTGAATTTTGAGTATCTTGTGTTTGCATTGACTTATTTCTTGTACTTTCGGTAGAAAAATGTTTGGTAATGTAAGACTTGGAGAGCCCCTGAAAAACTTGGTGACAAATCTAAAAAATTCTTTGAAACTCTCTATTTTTGGTTAGAATCTCCCAGAAACTCAGCAAAATTTCTTGAATTTTGTCCTAGTTTTCCTGTATGAGCTGAAAAAAAAAAAAAAAGAAAAAAAAAATTATTTTTCCTCCCACGAATATTGGACACACGCAGGCTGTGTTTTCCTAATGTATTTTATATTGTCCAGTACGCAGAAAAAATTATTTTGTGAGGAACTCCCACTGCATCTGCATGTCATCATAATACACCTGAAGCAATGAGGATACACAGGGAAAAATTAACCAGGTTAACTATTTCTCCTGTTTTCAGTTTTAGTCTGTTCATTTATTTTATTTTTTTAGGGACTGTATTCTCTGCAATGGTTATGTTTCCATATTCAAGAGATTCTTTTAAGCGCTCAGCCAATAGGCAACGCTTTTTTATTTCGACTTGCCTCTGAG